CATTCGATTATGAACGCGATATTGCGTAGCTTGTCAGTGTAAGTGTTTTTATTAATGCCATTAATGTTTTTGTTAATACAGCGTAGGCTATAGCACTAGTCAACTAAATGAATGTAACATGGCAAAGATGAATGCACTTTTGGAAGCTGAATGTAAGGGAAATGTCATTTAGGAATTTCTGTAGTTTAATATGATATTGTTTTTCATGTATGTTCGTGATGACATTTTCTTTTATTGTTGTAATTAATTTATAGCATTAACAAGATGACCTGTTGAATTCATTTTGGGAGCGATGACATGATTGAATGTATTTTTAGTCCAGTGCCTGTATATAAGATTAGTATTGACCAAGTTCAGAGGCTGTCATATGTGGATCAACTTACTATGTTGTGTATTTTCAACAGTTTCAATATGAAAAATAACTTATATTGATTCAATGGATTTATTGCATTTTGAAGAAAAAAAAGTGTCATGGATTTATTGCAAGTGTGTGTGTGTGTGTGTGTGTGTACCTGAGGGTTTCACATTGCATAAATATTAGAAATTGCACATTTTAAATGTGATAGTTTTACAAGTGTCTAATTCAGATACTTAATCTAGAAATATTTTTCTGATTCTAGAAGGATTACTGACATAAATAGACTAAATATAGTCTACTCATACAACACAACACGACTTTGGTAATGATCCAAGGTGTGTTATATAATGCAGAAGGCACTTTCCCCTTTCTATGCCAACTTTTCCCTTTACGTTAAATACATTGAAAAGGTTGAGGCTGTTCAACATTAAAAGGAAACAGGTAGCCAGGATTTTTTACATTTAAAATATAATCAGAATCAGAATGAGCTTTATTTTTATAAAAATATAAGCATTTGGGTTTGTCACTCTTGCGGATGCAACCCATATAAAGTAAATCCATACATTTTATAATAAGTCTTTAGCCTTGACATAAAAAAGCTCATGATCTCTAGTATCAACAATAATATAAATTATGGATTATCTGTCATCACATATTATTGGTTATTATTCTGTGTGCAACACAAACAAGAGACAGTGTAATATTCAGTGTACACCCTGGGTTTCACTCATTCTATTGTGAGGTTAGAATTCGTTGAGTGCTAAACTGAGCCCAAGTGATAGGACCCTGGTTTTTTTTTTTTGGAGTTGTTGATAACGGGAGTCTGGTGAGAAGAGAAGAGAAGAGAAGAGTGAAAATCTAAGGAGAGATGTTAGTTCCAAAAGCATTTACCCAAAATGGTTTACTAAAGTTTATGCTAAGATCTTTCTTGGAATCCAGTATTTACAATGCCACAGAACCTGTGCTCTAAAATATGATGGAATGAATAGGAGAATTGCAGATGCCAAAGAGAGAAGCAACATAAGGTGATGAGAAGGAGCTTTTTTTTGGGATTTTATTCAAGCTTCTCAACAATAAATTAAGGACATATGAAATCAAAAGAGTTAAGACATACTAAAGAGAGAAAGGAGTGGGGAGCTTACAGAAATGGAAGTTTTATTACAGAAAGCAAAAAATTTCTGTACAAGTGATGGGACTATAGAACTGAGTGCTTCATCCCCACTGAGAATAGTGCGATGGAGAAAAGCAGCAACAGAGGAAAAATATAGAAACACGGAGGAAATGAAGGAGTTGCCGCTCAGATGGTGCCCGGAGCCAGAGATGAGATGTACAAAATTTAACTGTGCAGAGGGAGAAAAAAACAAGTTGAAACAAATGAGAGATGGTGATATTAAACAATAAAGGGCATGCGAGAGATATAAAAAGACTGTCGGTGTCACATAAATATACACATATATATGTATATATTTATATATTGGGTCAATCACACAATAAGTATGTTCATGCATGTGAGAAAAGGATTACATCAGGCATTATGAGATTAATTTTGTTTTATTTTATTCATATATAAATAATTTAGCAAGTTGCAAAAATGTAAACATAATGTTTACATTTAAAAATGAATTTAAATAAATGAGAAAAGAAAAAAATTAGTTGAAACAAACGAGAGATGGTGATATCAAACAACAAAGGGCATGCCAGAGATAAAAAAAAAAAAAAAGAGTCATCATGCTTTCCAGAT